TGCCGACATCTTTAACCCACGCGGAGGGATATCGCAGACGGCGGTTTTGACGTTGCTGGGGATCCACTCGACGAAGTAACTACTGTTCTTGTTCTGTATGTTGAGCATTTGCTCGTCCACCTCTTTCATCGACATTCGGCCTCGGAATACAGCCGCGACGGTCAAGTAACGACCGTGGCGAGGATCGCACGCTGCCATCATGTTCTTCGCGTCGAACATTTGCTGCGTCAGCTCTGGCACCGTGAGAGCCCTGTACTGCTGCGAGCCTCTGTCTCGGGAGAAATTACACACGCGGGCAAATGACGAACTTTCGTCGTACTACTGGCGACTATATAACGACGATAAATCGGTTATGTGATACTACACCTGGAGGTCAACGGTGCAAAACCAGGGATGAAGAAGTGCAGCCGGGGAAACGGTACCATATTTACAGCGAGTTTGCGCAGGTCAGCGTTTAGCTGTCCAGGGAATCTCAGACACGTGGTCACTCCGCTGAGCGTCGCGCTCACCAAGTGATTCAAATCACCGTAGGTTGGCGTTGTTAATTTCAATGTGCGGAAGCAAATGTCGTAGAGGGCTTCGTTGTCGATACAGTAAGATTCGTCCGTGTTCTCGACCAATTGGTGCACGGAGAGGGTGCAGTTGTAGGGCTCGACCACGGTATCCGATACCTGTAAACACACGTGATTTATTTCTGTGATGCCTCACAGTAGCTCGCGAGGTACTTGGTTCAGAAGATTGGCGAAATTTCACTTGGATGTGAATGAAAAGTGATTTCTGAATCTTTTTTCTTCTTTTTTTTTTTTTTTTTTTTTTTTGCACTTTGGGTAAAATTGTACAAATCTCAGCTTTCTGAATTACCTTCGGGGAGGGTACGACGCTGAACGTCATCATAATTCTGTCCGGGTATTCTTCGCGAATCTTGGAAATAAGCAACGTGCCCATTCCAGCACCGGTCCCTCCACCGAGAGAGTGAGTCAACTGAAATCCCTGAAGGCAGTCGCAGCTCTCAGCTTCCTTCCGTACTACGTCGAGCACCGAGTCGACGAGTTCCGCTCCCTCGGTGTAGTGTCCTTTGGCCCAATTATTCCCGGCGCCGCTTTGCCCAAAAACGAAATTGTCCGGTCGAAATATCTGACCGAATGGGCCGGAACGTACCGCGTCCATGGTCCCGGGTTCCAAGTCGACCAGGATCGCTCTCGGGACGTACTTTCCACCTGACGCCTCATTGTAATAAACGTTTATACGTTCCAGCTGGAGATCGGAATCACCGTGATAGGTGCCCGTTGGATCGATACCATGCTCGTCGGAAATCACTTCCCAAAACTGTCGAGAGATCGTGAATATTGAGACTCCGTCGAAGCGAGTGAAATTAAAAGTGAAATTTGAAATGATGCTTTTCAGCGACATTTTATCGGGAAAGATAGTAAAGAAGGATATATTATGTATTGTAGGAAATTGGTAGTATTAAATGATTGATTCGTTTTTCATTGACTTGGTGTGTTTGTTCAAAAATCGACTGGGACGCGAAGCTGCATCTTCATTTGTTTACTTTAATTTCAGCAAATGCCGCGTTAACGTTTAACGGGTTCATGACGAGATGTCGAATTCGTCATCTGTCGTATTTTTTGAATTTATAAATGACTTCTGAATTAATTGAAATCGTTTCAATTAAGATAATTAAGATTTAATTAAGAATTTTTTTCATCGTGACTTTACTGTTACGATTCTCGCTGTAAAATCAAGGATGTTATACATACGCAGCGTTCACGATTCGATTCTTAATGGAATAAATCGTTTAATAAAGTACCTTGGCCCCAATTTGATTGCCGCATTGACCAGCTTGGAGATGAGCGATCTCACGCATTTTTCCAGGTTTCCTCTTTCCACGATTTTTCTGTCCAATCTCTGTTCGTCGCTAATCCTTTCTGTTCACTTTCCTCTTGTCTCTGTTCTTCTCGAATCTCTTTTGTTATACAAAATTCTTGAAATATTGCCGCGATGCCACGAATTCTTCCCGAGCGTATACAAGAGCGTGAAAAAGCACGAAATCGGCGAGACTAATCAACGAGTTGTCGTTTGTTTCACGGTTGCCTTGGATCTTTTGTTTCCCATCGCTTGTCTCGCCAAGTTCAACTCCATCTATCTCGCTCTCTTTCCTTCCTCGATACAAGATCGAGATGGAAACGTTCTGAGTTCTCGTTTTTACTCGAAGTTGCAACCGAAGGGAGAGAAAGAGAAGGGAAGTGGAATTGTTATGAAAGGATAATAAAATAAAAGAACGATATATTTTTAATATTGTCAGTTCGTCTATTTCTTTTCTCCCTCTATCTCGAGAGAACCTCTCACTTTTACGACGGATTTACGACGAAGGAAAAGGAAATTTGATTGTAATTTGTTACAAAAGGAAGAAAACGGACAAAGAACGAGGAAACTTTCGAGAACGATAAAATCCTCTGGATGCAGTCAAGATCGAAGAACTCCGAGCTTCTCGTTCTCTTCTAACGTAAAAAAAAAAAAGATCGCAGGATAGGATAGAACGGACAATACGACAAATTTCCTTCAGAGAGAAATACAAAAAAAAAAGGAAACAAATTTTATTGCTTTTTACAAAGAGAGAAACTTGGTTGGATCGACGGATAGAAGAATAGAAAAAGACGTAGAAAGAAACGTAGACCGAGGAAGAAAACATATCCTGAAGCGTCGTCGACGGCCGTCGATTTGTTACTCCAGATCAATGACATTCGCTGAGGATCCAGGATCTTGTTAACCGTGGTGGGGAACGAGAAGGTTAGTCGGTTGTTTCAACTGTTGAGGATGGCTGTTGCGTCGATGGCCGTAACCGGATGTTTCTGCTGGATTGTCCTCGAATGGTAAAACCGCGGCGGCGCGCCGGGGATTCTTGGTTTCAGCGATTTTCAGCGTCTGCCGGCGATGAGAGCGGCGGCGGGAACGCCGGGATAGGCGAACGGAGCCGCGGCTGGAAGGCTGGAATAAGCGAGGGGGGCAGCGGCGGCGTGGGCGATCAGAGGG